GGATTTCCCACCGAAATTCGGTCAGAAATTTAAATTTTAAAACGGTCAAAAATAGCTCCAATTTTTTTCTACTGATTTCCGACCGAATGAATTTCCCACCGTTTTCCGACCGATTTTTCCGACGGATTTCCTACCGATTTATTTTCCCACGGATTTCCGACCGATATTTGCAACCGTATTGCGACGGGAGTTTTTCCGTCGGAAATTTCCGACCGATTTTGGACCGGTTGAAAAACGATCGGAAATCGGTCGGATTTCCGTCGGTAATTTCCGACCGATTTTGTCCGTCGGAAATTCGGTCGGAAATAGGCCTATTTTCTTGTAATGTGCTATGTAGATCATATAAGATCGATTGTGTTTGGTTTTCTCCTTCAAAAATCTTATTGAATAATTTCGTTTTGTTGTAATAATTGAAGGAAGTCATGTCGTTTTTATTTTCAATAAGATTGTCATAATGAATTAAGTTCCATTTTCAAAATTTACAATATGTGCGATCGATTGTTCATCAAATGTGGCTTGAAAAGTTCATTGAGTTTACAGTTTGATTATAAAAACTTGTGGAACCTCTTAAGAACTTATACGTAAAGCAATCTAGTTGTCCTAAATTTTGATATTTTATCTTACATGGTACAACAAATAAGGGAATGTTTTTGAAAGATAATTTTTTTTGTGTCAATTTTCAAAAATATTGTTACTAGTTTTTCATCAAATAACAAATTTAGTATCTTGAAGTTTGATATAAATGTTACCTTGTTAACAAATGGTTCAAGAACAAGAGAAGGTTCTAAACCGATTTCTTCACTAGCTTCTCTCAACGTGGTAGCTATCAGCTGAATCTTCTTCGCCTCTCTTTCCTCCAGGCAATGGTACTTCCCCTGTTTTAAAACCATTTTCATACATTTTGAGATTCATTAAAGCTAAAATCTTTTGAAACGGAGAATGTCTTGCGAGAGAGAGTTTGATTTTACCAAGATGAGAAGAGAGAGTAGAGGAACGTTTGGTTAAGATTACGCGTAGTTCGGTTTGTCTTCTCTTTGTTCTTGGTATAGACAAACTAAAACAACTGAAGATTTCGCAGGAAAATGTTGAAGTAGATGAGGTTTGTTGTAATTCTGAAAATGTTGGATCAGATATTGCAATTTTTGGGAAGAATTGTTGTTGAAGACATATTAGAAATAAAGACTTAGAACTCTGTTTCTTCTTCTTTTTGTTTTTCCGATCTGTATAAAACTACTGGAATTGTTGGATTATTGGGCTAATGGGCTGGTCCAACCAAAGAGGAAGAAAAAAGAAAGATTAAAGTAATTGAAAATTAATGGTCCTTTTTTAGATTAAAGATTTTATCAACAATTCTGATGAAAATAATTTGTAATTTAAAAAAAAAAAACTAGATATATAACTATGGGGAGGTTTAAGAAAAACTACAAATATAAGAGTGTTTTTCAAAACTATATATGTTTAATGTCAATTTTGAAAAAAAAAACAATGCTGTAACGTTTTGTATAAGGTTAAAATACGAAAACTATTGTGTTTTAAAATTAATTTATGATATTTGGTGTTTTTACACCATTACACTCATGATTATGTCATCTTTTATCCATGACTTTATAGCATTTGCAACACATTTTGATCATTTTAGTCTTATTTTTTGTGATTAGATGCATTTTAGAATTAGGACATGTAGTTGTGCATTTTTGTTCTTGTCTTGGTTTGATTTAGGTACATTTGGAGATATTGGAGCCATGTAGATGCAAAAGATGAGGAGGAAGTTAACAAATGGAGGATAAGGAAGCAATAAAGAAGGGATTTGAGTCAAGAAGAATGGATCAAAGATTGAATCAATGAAGAAGTCGGAGCGCTCATATCCACGTCTCATATCTACGTCACAACCAAGATATGGGAACCAAAATTTTTACAAAATACACAGAATTCATATCCACGTTCAATATCCACGTGATGGTCGTAGATATGAAACCCAGTTTTACCAAAGGCCAAGATCCGACCCAATTTAAATTGGGTTGACCCAATTCACCTTTAGTTTTGTATAAACAGATTTTTAGAGGTGCAAAAACCTAAGTTTTGGATTTGCTCTTTCCCCCTTTTGATGCAAAACTCTCTTTGTTGATGATCTATGCTTGGATCTTTTTCATTTTTCAGATTTTCTTAATTTAATGAAGTTTCCTTAATCA